GGTGGGGGTGGGGGTGGGGCTGGGACAAGATGCCCACCTGGGGTAGACGGAAACAGGAAGGCGGGCTCCTGCCACTGTGCACTGCCACGTGCCACTGGTCCAGGAGGGAATGGGAGTGGGTATGTACCCCTGGATCTGCGTGGGGCAGGCTGGGCTGGACTGCGCACTGGATGGGTGGCAGAAGGTGCTTGGAGCAAAGTCTATGGCCTCCCACCACTTGCCCAGCCTCCCCATGCTTCCCGGACAAGCTGCAGCTTTGCCCTGGCTTCGCAAGCAGCGGCAGGGCATGGTGGCAGGTGTGTGCACCCGGATAAAGGAGGGGCTGACAGCAGGGGCTATGGGGAATTTTAGGGTGGCTGCAGCCCCCATATAGCCCCCGCTCCACTGCAGTCTGCAGGGGGGGTGGAGCCAGGGCTGCACTCCAAGCTGCAGCTGAGGCTAGCCACCCAGAGTGAAACCCTGCCTCCGCCCACCCTGTGGAGCAAAGCCCGGCAGCAGGCTAGCCTCCTGGAGCGCAGCCTGGCCCAGCCTGACTCGCACAGATCTGGGGGCACACACCTGCTCCCATACCATCCTAGACCGGTAACACTGTAAAAAATGGCACAGGCCTGCTCCCATGCCCACCAGCAGCAGCACACAGTGGCAGGAGCCCCCCTTCCCAAGTCCCGCACCCCCCTCCACCCCAATCCTTCCCTCGCTGTGGGGGTGTTGATCTGTCCCCCCACTACACCCCTTCCCTCCTCCCTCTGCCCACCACAACAGACTTACCAGCTGAAGGCAGCTGTGTCCAGTGTGGTGGAAGACTGCTGCCTGTTTAGTCTATGGCAGAATCTCCAAATCAGCACCAAATCTTTTCCAAATCAATTCAGAAGCTTCCGATTCAATTCGAGCCTTTTAATTGGTCTCCCAATTTAATTTGGATTCAGGGATTCGGCCACCAAATCAGGCCAAATCCCCTCTCAATCAAATCGGCTACCAAAGCTTCACACAGCCCTAGTCACCAAATTCAATATCACAATAGCCTTTAGGACTAATGTTAAACTACAAGGCTTTGAACTCCAGCTGAACTGTGTTAAATTTCCACAAGAACACAAGAGCAATTAAAAAAATAAATCTTAGACAAAAAACACAAGGTAAATGGGAATTAGCTAAAATTAACTGAAGGAAAAATGCAACAGAATGTTATACTATTAATTTCAAATAATAGACATCCAAGAAATTGTAAAATGAGGTAATGGTAGTGTTGATGTGCTGT